AAATCAAGTTTAAACATTCCTAATTTTTTGACATGAAAAACCCCCAAAAAAAAAAAAAAAAAAAAAAAAAAAGATTTTCCCTTGCGCAACCTGTATCAGAAAATAGGCAAAAAAAAAATTTTTGATTTTCATCTAACCAGGGTGATTCGCTTGTTTGTTTTTTTGTTTCGTCGGTTCAGATATCTGCTAGTGGATTATTTAAAAAAAAAAAAAATAAATATCTTCTATTGCATTGTATAGCGGGAAATTTGATTCGAAAACTTGTAAATTTTCAATTTTTTCACCACAAAAAAATAGCCAATGTTTTCTTTCTTTCGATATTTAGGTAATCGAAAAAAGATTTTAATCATTTTTTTGTGTTGAATAGTTACCTAAACCATTTTTAAATTTTTGCTAACTTTTTTTTTATTACTTTTTACCATCAAATACTAATAACATTTTTTGTTTTTTTTTGAAATTTTAAATAATCTTTTGAATGTTGCTTTAAACAAAAAAAAACCAAAACCAAAAAATGTATCAATCAAACAGTAAGTTTTGTGTTATTGTTGTTGTTTCAAATTTCCAAAAAACAAAAATACTAATAATACTTTGTCTATACTAGCTTATCGTCGTTATAAAATTTTAACAACTAGAATTTCAATGAATTTTCAGCGTGAATATTTTATTAAATTTGATAATACAAAAGGACAATGGTTTACAATTGATGATATAAATGAAAAATTTAATGATATTACAAATTTAAAAAAATTTGTAAATAAATTTAATATTGGTTTTTCAACCAAATCAATTAAAAATGATCCATTTGAAGGTTTAGTTTATGTACAATGTAATCGGAATGCATTTTTTGATTTAAATGATTATATTCCAAATCCGGAAATATGTTCATGCGCAAATGAAAATCGTACAAATTGTCGTAATTATTATTGTGTTAATTGGACAAGAGGTGTTGAATGTTCACCTGCATGTCCAATGGGTATTGATTGTTCAAATCGACCAATACAAATGATTAGTAATGAAGATAATTTAGAAATTTTTATAACTAAACATTGTAATTTTGGTGTAAAAACTAATATTTCATTTGATAGAGATACATTTATTGCCGAATATAAAGGTGTTATTCGTTCAAATAATGATCCATTATTATCGGAAAATTATTCAATGGATCTTGGTCGTACAACAGCAATCGATGCATCATTATGGTGTAATAAAATAAGATTTTTAAATCATTCTTGTTTACCGAATGCAAAATCATATTTATTTGCTGTTGATGGTCATTGGAGATTGGCAATATTTTCAATGCGAAATATTTCGGTTGGTGAAGAATTGACTATTGATTATGGTCCGAATTTTGAAGAAAATCAAGAAATTTGTTTCTGTCAATCACCAAATTGTGCAGGTATTATTGGTGGTAATAAGGTATGTAAATTGTTCAATTATAGAGAGAACAAATTACATTATTTTTTTGAAAAAAAATTCAAATCTAGAATTTTGAATTTGAAATGGAAGATTGGCAATATCCATTAAGTGAAAAAGCATATAATTTACAAAAAATTTTTAATGAAAATTATGCTGATAATATTCCAATTTATTGAATCAATACATCAAAACATCAAAACATCAAAACATCAAAAAATCAAACATCAAATCAGACAGAACAAAAACATCAACACACACAGAACTTATAATAATGAATTTTTTATTTCGATTTTTTTTAAAAAAAAACATAATTTAAAACCATTATTTTTTGATTGTTACAAAATTACTATTATCATTACTATGGAAACATTTTAATTTATTGTAATCAAAGTTTTTTTTTTGTTTGTTAAGTAGTCAATCATATATTGATTGATTAATCAATTTTTGATGGATTAAACCAATTGATTGATTAATCAATGATTTTTGTTGTTGTTGTTAATCACTTTTTGTAAATCAAGTTGATCAAATTCCATTTTTACAAACGAAAGTAACGGTTTATAAAAAAAAAAATGCAACGAAAACAATTTATAAATTTGTTTATAATTTTAATATTCATTATCAATATTATCGATGGAATTGAATTTAATAATTGTAAGTTTGTTCTGTTTGAATATTTATAACTTTAAATTAAAAACTTAATTGAATTATCAACAAAGGTCCTACATTCGATAAACAAGGTAATACGGTAATTGAATTTATTAACAATACCGAATGCGATACAAAATATTGTTATTGGCCATTTGAAAATTCATTATTATTTTATTATAATATTACTATAAAACCGGATAGAGATATTTATTCAAAACAAATTGATAAAATATTTATTATGTCTGATTCAATGAATTCATCATATACATATACAAATTGGTTTTGTTCGGTTGATAATAAATATAATGAAAATTTTTGTCCAATGAAACAATCATCAAGCTATAATGTACATGATGGTATTTATATTTTAACTGATAATTTTAAGGTATGTTTTTAATCGATTAATATTATTATAAAACATTCTTATTATTTTTATTATAAATTATCATTACAAAGCCAAATACATATCTAGATGTAATACAAACATATAGTTATCAGGATAATGGTGCACCAACTAATCTTGCTTGTATACAATATAAAGCATATCTATATGGTTTGTAACCGAATAATTATAAATTTTGTAAAAATCTATATAATTTTTTTTTGTTATTTCAAATGATTAGATGAAAACGAATGTCAAAAAAATTCCATTCAAACATTATTGAATAATGTAAATCAAACATATAAAAAATTACGTTCATTAATATTGGAAATGTCAAATTTATTTACAGAATTTATTGAAATGAAAATTAATTATATTGAATTGTTTGAAAATCAATTGAAAACATTGATGAAAAATAAACATTATCCATTTTTTTGTCCAGATTTTATTCATTATCAAAATGATTATCAACAATTTCAAAATAAATTAAAATTAGAAAATATTACAAAAATATCACAAGATATTGTTCATGAAGAAAATCTTAAACCATTAATTGATTATTTGGATGAAATTATTGATTATCAATCAAAACAAATTAAACAATTGGAAACTGATAAAAAATATTTAGCTATTAATATAATACAGAAACAGATTTTTTTATTAAATACACAAATATTTACATTAAAATCATTTGATCTATTGAATGGTGAATTAAAAAGAGCACAACAATTAATTACATCAACATTTTTATTAATTGAAGAATTACAAATGTTTATTTGATTAATAAAAAATATTTTTAAATTTTGAATTTTCATTTTTTTTTTTTTTGAATTCCTTGTAAAAAGGATGGGGGGAAGGAAAAAAAGATTGATTGATTGATCAGTGAAAAATGAGATCGAATTCGGGTTTCTCAGTCAGTTAAACATTGTTATCAATGAAACAAATCAATAATGTGTTTCCCTTGTGATACCTGTTAGTTTTATCAAACAACCGATCAATAAAATGTATTTTCCAAATATGACCAATACTTGTTTGTTTTTCCAATATTCGAAGTTTATCGATATATTCAAAATGAGATTTTTGTTGTCAATCGGAATGAATTTTTCCATATTTATGATTCGATGATGACATCCTATCCGGATAACGATGTTGTGATTTATTTCGTTTATTATGATGATGACTTTGATGACCAGAATGTAATAGACCAGATTTAACAATATCTTCATTAATTTCAACACGAAGCCATGGTTTCCAAACAAAATGAAATAATATTAACCATATTAATGATATGACTTTATATAAATGAATTTTGATGTTTTTCACCATAGATGTCATTGGATGTAAGAAAAGAAAACAAGAATTAAATTGATAGGGAAAAAAATGTTTCTGTCTCTGCATACATACTACTCATCATAAATGGTAATAATGTTCCACCATAAAAATCCAATGTACAATAATAAAAAGATTCCAATAGAATTAATATGATGAAAAGTATAAGTAAAAATATTGTAATTGTTTGTAATCTATTTTTTTTCGGATGTAGAAATGAAGGTGTTATTAAAAGTAACATTTTTTTCAAATCAATGAATGAATGAAATACTTACGGTAAAACATATAAATGTATAGCTGATTGTATCAATATGAATGCCTGACTAATTGAATAACAACCAAAATAACGTATAAATACCGTTTCTGAGGGGGAAAAAAGATGCAATTTTTTTTTGGTTAGTTAGTTAGTTAAAATCTTGATTTATTTACCTTTATGAATATTTGTATGAAATATTTTACCAAATAAAAAATTTGGATCAAAAAATGAACGTAAACAAAGACCAATATGCATAAATGCTAAAAAACTAAGCCAACCTCGTAATGAATAATCGGACCAATGTGCCATATTTATTTATTTGAATCGAAACGAAATTGAAATTGAATTGATTTTCTTTTCTTTTCTTGTTGTTGTTTTTTTTCAATAATCATTGATTCATCATTATTAACATTGCGAAAGCACGTTAAAAGTAAAATTATAAACAAAAAAATTCATTTCAACAACGAATACAAGAATTGCTCACTCGCCAAATTCTATTCAACACATTCGGATTCTATTTGATTCGAATCAAACATGCGCTGTTTTGGTTCAAAAAAAAAGAATCGTTGGTTCTTTCACCAACCACTAGATGGCCGAATTTTTTCCGACTCACAAAAAAAAAATACATTCGAATTCGCAATTCCAAAAATAATCCTTCATTCGAATCATCAAAACAAAACAGAAAAATAAATTGTTTGTTTTTGTTTTTGTTTTTCTCAAGAAATAACTGTGTTTTCACCATCATAATTCCTGTGAATAAAATGAAACGAAAAACAAAAAAAAACAAAACGAAAAAACAAAAAAACAACGATTTTATTCATTTATTTTCATCAAAACAAAAAAAAAAAACAAAACGAAATTCATCATTTTTCTTTCCAGATTTCATTTCATAATGATAATAATATTAATAAAAAGATTTTTTTTCGATAAAAAAAAACAAAAGAGAAGAAAAAAGAACATTATTTTATCCAATCAATCCATTTGAATTCGAAAGAATATGTGTGCCTAGATATGTGTGTGTTTGTGTGTGTTTTTTGAATGTTTTCGACATGTTTTTTCAGTATTTGTGTGTGTGTGTGTTTGGAAGAATTTGTGGGAAACGAAACGAAACGAAAAAAAAAAATTCAACGGAAAAAAACAGCACCTATTTTTTTCTTCAAAAAAAATTAATCCGGATTAATTATATAAGAATCTAAATAAAAAGAGAAGATTATTGGCCAATTTGAACAAACTTTTTTTTTTGAAGAAATGAAAGAAAAAGTTATTTTCCAAATAAAATTATTTTCATTTATCGTTAATTATTGAATTGAATTGAATAACAAGAATTTACTGTTGTTTTTTCAAAAATGCAAATTTCATTATTTGAAATTTTGTTTTGTTTTTCTGTTTTTCTGCTTTTCTGTTTCTTTTGTGCGTTTTTTCAATTTATTGAAAGAAAAAAATGAAATGAAATTCTTTGAAAATTATAAACATTTTTGGTACAAATAATATTCGAGAGATGGCGACATGGTCGTTTTCAAATGTGCGTGTAAAAAAAAAGATTCAAAAAAAAAAAAAAAACAACAACAGAATTTTTCCTTCATTATAAAATCAAGATTTACTAATTTCTGGTTTATAATTCTTTTTGTGTGTGTGTGTTTGTGTATGTATTTCAAAGTGTCACATGTCATCATGTTATCATGTTACATAACATGTTACAACAATAAGTTAACAATTAGGTCCCTATATATATATAATTTTTATTTTTTTCAATCGAAATCGAAACATTTGAAGAAAAAAAGATGATAATAATAATTCAATGATTGGAACAAACCAAAAAAAAAAGACAAGAAATTTGATTTTTTTGTTCATGTGTTTTGTGTTTTTGTGTTTTTATTCTTTCGCGCAACCCTTTCTTTCACTCGATTCCATTCGCTAGCAGAAAAAAAAGAAAAAAGAATCATACGAATGAAATGGAATCAAAAAATTGAAATAGTATGATGATGATAAGGATGATGATTTTTATTTATATTTATATTTTCCATTAAGAATGTTTTTTTTTGTAATGTAAATTTATAATAATAATAATTTATAATTTATAATAATATCGAAAAAAAAATTCCTACATTTATCAATCGATCATCATTATTATCACTATTTGAATTTGAATTCTGATGGACAACAACAATTTAACTAAATTAGTTTTCTATGAATAATAATAATTTTTGTTAAAAAAATTTCCTTTTTTTTGGTTTTTTTTTCTCGTTTTTTTTGAAATATACAAAAGTCGTGTGTAAGTAAGTAAGTAGATAAGATGTGTAAATTATCCTGATTTTGTGTGTGTCGGTGTGTGTGCAACAAACGATAAAAATATCAAAAAAAAAAAAAAAGATTTCAATTTGGCAAAATGTTAAAGAATCGAACAAAGATTCTGTTCAATTCTGTAATCAAGATGATGATGATGTTGTTGTTGTAGGCGGTGGCGTTGTTGTTGTTGTTGTTAATTGTTGTTGTTGATTATTACCATTTTCATTTGTTGTTGTAATATGTGATTGTTGTTGTTGTTGTTGTTGTTGATCACGTTGATGATGAGGCTGATTATGTGAAGAATGATGATGATGATGGTGTGAATGATGATGATGCGAATGATGATGATGATGACCAATTATACTATGTCCATGTATACGATGAACTGATCTTTGATTTTGATTTAATTGATCTTGTTGTTGTTGTTGTTGTTGTTGTTGTTGTTGAATTAATTGTTCACGTTGTTGTTGTTGTTGTTGTTGACGACGTTGATGATGTACAGCAGCTGCAGCTGAACCAATTGAACTTGGTTGTTGTCCACGACGAAATTTACAGGTTAATATACGTACATATGTACGACGAAAATTTGCATTACATAATGCATATAATAATGGATTTAATGTTGAATTTACATAGCAAAGAAAATAGGCAAATTGCCACCAACCACCTTCTGGATCAACAAGACCGGTATAAAATGTTTTTAGTAAAACTAGATAAAAACAATGAAACAAAGAAACAAAGAAACAAAAGAAAATTCAGAAAAATCGATTAGTTATCATTTTTTGATGAGAAAGCAATAGAATCTAAACTTTTTTCAAAAAAAAAAGAAAAACAAAAATTCAAAATTTGAAAATTTGATCAGAAAATTATGAAAATATTCAAAGCACGGAATATAAACAAAAGTGTAGGAATTCTATTTTTTAAAATTTTCAAATGAAAAAAAATTCCAGTCACATGGATCAGGATTTTTTTTTTGGCTTGAAAACAAACAAACAAACAAAATGTGTGGAAAGTAGAGAAAAAATAGTCAATTCCTTCGAAAGAAAGAAAAGTTTTTCTTTCCTCCTCTCCTCCTTCGACAAATATGATTTCAATATTAATTCAATTATGATGCCAATTTAAGCCATACACAGAAAAACATTTTCATCGTTGGACAAATTGAAATTGATAACCGCAGAAGACCAGAAAAACCGAATGATGATTACCTGTCGCAGGCCGCCGCCACCGCTAACAATATTTGTAAATTATAAAATTTTTTATAAAAAAAATTGCTTAATTTTCAATTATTTTCAATCTGTGTGTGCGTTTCTCTCCTTAAAATGACATCAAATAATGAGAAAAATCGGTAAATTGAATTGAATTTTTTGAAAGAAAAAACGAGAATAAAGAATCAATACCAATATCTATTTAGAATTCTGTTCAATATCTCATCTTTTTTTTTCTTTGGTGTTTGATATTATTATTGGCACAATGTTTATCTGGTTATTCTGGTCGACATTATTACGTGTGTGTGTGTGGTCAATATTGGTACATTGGAAAAATTGTAAATTGAACTCACGCAATTTACGAAAAAAAAATATTGAAAAGAAAAAAAGTTTTTGTCGAAAAGAAATGGCCATTTTTTTCGTTTGGTTCAAGATCTATTGATCTATCGGTTTTTTTTCACCTAAAACTTTTTTTTTCAAATGAAAAAATTTTCTATTATTATCATTGTTGGTGAACAAAAGGCACCAATAACCAATATTAATAATAATTTTTAGGCGTTTACAGTACAATTCTCAAGTTTTTCTTCTTCGTTTTCCTATTTCCAAAATCAGATCGACAATATCATTACATTGTCTGTGTGTGTGTGTGTGAGTTGACAATTGTAAATCAAATTGAATTTCTCGTTTCTTTTGAAATAGAAATTCAATTAGTGGCCCTATTAGGTTTAGTTACAACAACAACAGAATGAACAATCATTTAATTATCACTAAATATCGATTTACAAAAAAAAAATGAAAAAGAAAAAGAATAATTTTCTATTGACAATTTGTAATACGAAATAATGATAATCAGTCTGACTCTGTCTAAAGTCTGACTTTTTTTGATTAAAAATCCAATTCAATTTGAATATTTGAATCTAACCTATTTCGGGGTGGTAACCAAAAAAAAAAAAAAATATTAATCGAATCACGAATTTTTTCGTTTGTTTTCAATCGAACCAACGAATCCAACGAATTTGAATAGAATCCAAATTTTCTATTCAATCAATCAATAACTTTTTTCCATTTGATGATGATGATGAAGTAAAAATCAGCTAAATCAGTAAAATTGATTAAATCAATGAGTAATAATTAATGATCATTAATGGTGGTTATGGAATTTTCATTTCATTTTTCTCCCATTGGTTTCTTTTCCACTGGTTTCATGATAATTATTGAACATTGAATAATATTGAGGGAAGGAGAAAACTTTAACGACATCATTTTATTGTATGAAGTGATATGAAACAAGAATAAAAGAATGTGACAATGAACGACTGAGAATTTCCGGACATTTACAAATTTCAATTAATCAATTTATTCAAGTTTTTTGTGTGTGTGTGTGTGTGGCTTTTTTTTCTATTCCCCCCCCCCAAAAAAAAATCAGTGGTTCTTTATCATGATTTACGTTAAAGTTTTAGTGCAAAAGAATTAGTCAATGGAAGACAAAAGACAGAGAGAGAGAGAATCAATTCCTACTCAACACTTTTTTGCTTTGTTTTGGCTGCTTTCTCCCTCCATAGAGCGAAGATCGATAACTTTAATGATGATGATGATGACGGTAACTCATTATCATTATATTGACCATTTTTTTATCTTATCTTTTTTTAGTTTTGCAAAAAAAACAAGATGAAAAACAAAAGCATAAAAAAAGTATTTGCCCATATTGAAGATAGATAGTATTGAATGATGATGATGATGATAATGATGGTAATAGGAAATAAGTTTATCACATAAGTTTTTTTTTGTTTTATTATTGTGTGTGTGTTTGAAAAGTTTTTTTCTTTCAATTTTAGCTGTGATTTCTTCATCGTTTTTTTCACTTTGGATTGAAAAAAAAGAAGAAGAAGAAGTTGAAAATCATGATTTCATTTCATTTCATTTCATCTTTTTTTTGGCAAACAAACAGATTTATTGATCGATTCAATAGAAACGATTTTTTTTTATAAATGAATGAATGAATGAATGGAGAAAGATTCCCAGAAAGAAAAAAACAATCAAGTTTATAAGAAGGAAGAAGAAGAAAAAAAAAGACAATAACGGAAAGTTTTTTTTTCCAGTTTGTTCAACAGTAATAGTTTCCTTTCTCTTTTCTTTGGTACTTATTTGGTAGGAGAAAATAGAAAAAAGACAAATCCAATGTAATACACTGGCAATCAAGTGTGATAAAGATGATGATGATGATGGTGAAACGAACGAAAATTGATGGTCATTACCATGATGACATCCTGGAAAATTTCCTATGCTATGTATAACCATTCGTTATTGTTGATCATTTTATCGATATTCATGAATGATGTTATCTTGCTTTTCAAATGACCTAAATATTCTTTCTTACGAAATGTAAATTTTTACGCATCATTTTTTTCAATATGAATATCAAAAAAAAAAGATTGAAAAACGACAAAAAATGGTTACTGATGATGGATAAAATGGATGAAAAACGAATGAATTTTAACAACAACCAAAGAAACCGGAGGCAGAAAAAATATTGAAAATGTTTTTTTTTTTAAAAAGAAAACAAAATTTTCACTTGTCAGGGTTACAATATTGATGATGTGAATTTGTTCAAATTGATTTGTTTTTTATTTTTCACCTCATTGACCATCCATCGATGATTATATGTTGTTGTTGTTTGGAAAAAAAAGGAAAAATCTTTCTGAAAAAATCTTTTTTGAAAACTTTTTTCTAAAAAAAAATTTACATTTCTCCTTCGCTCACACCACTCCTGTATTCTATACACTATTTATCATCTTTTTTGCTGTATGGAATTTTTTTCTCTGCGAAAAATAACCCTTTGTTAACCTAGAAAAAAATTGAATGTATCAGTTTTTACAACAACAACAGCAAAAAAAAATCAATAATTAAAATTTTTCTTTTTTTTTTGTTGATTCCGATCGATGATCACTTGATTCAATTGACTTAACCCCTACACACACCATTATTATATGAAATTATTATTAATGATGAGAAAAAAGTGGAAAAATTTTATTTTCATTGAAAATATGGTTGAAAAGAGAATAGAATTGAATGAATGAGCGAGCGAACCCTGATTTTCCAAAATATCCAGATCATTTCAAATTGTTCTGTTGTGTTTACCGATCGAATATCGATCGCAAAGAGAAAAAGTTCAATTCAATTTCGTAGATTTTGAAATTGAAATTGAAATAAATCAAACAACAACAACAACAATGAGAGAAAAACACTATCAATCGTCATTGGAGAAAAACGAAGAATTTCGATTCGAAATTAACAACAAAACTGACCGATTATCCAACAATGAACCGAAATGAAAATCAAACAATGTGTCTGCAGATAGAAAATGATGAAAATAATAATTCTGTTTGTGTGTTTGTGTTTCTGTATTATAATTTATCTGATTGTGTTCAAAAAAAAGTTGGTCAAATAGAAAAACTGTAGGGTCGAATTTTCATTCATTGTTTTTTTGATTCGGTTGAATAGACAATCTGAATAGGTTTTGAAACAGAGAAACAGAGAAAAACAGTGAGAAAAAGTGAGAAAAAGTGAGAAAAACAAACATTATGATTCTGTTGAAAGTGATGATGGTGATGGTGAAGAGAGTGTGAAAATAATGAGAATTTTGTTTTTTTTTTTAAATCAAAAACTGAAATTTATCAATTTATTTTCTTCCCAGATGAAATCCATTTCTGGTGTCATCATCATCATCACATAAACCCCGGTTTTAACCCAAAGTGTTGATAAATCGCTCCTATCATTTTGATGAATTACATTAATTTCAACGAAAAAAAACATTGTTGTTTTTTAAGCAAAATTTTTTTCTAAAAAAAAACCTGAACTATAAGTTAAATATTGACAAGTAAGTCTTTGTTTTGCTTTCGCAAAAGGCAGAATTTCAAGAAAATTGTTGGTTTTTTTCAAAAAAAAAACCTTACGGGCATCTGTTATCTCTATTCAAATTTCATTTTATTTTCTATGTTTTTTTCTTTTTGCCAAACGAATAAGTCTATAGGAAAAAAAAGCAATGTACTAACCATATATGGTTGGAAACCGAAAAAAAGAAGGTTTTTTTTCTGGATTTGCCTAAAGGAATCCTAAAGAATATGATGATGATGATGATGATGAACAAATCAAACAAGAAGAAGAAGAAAAAAAGAAAATTCAGCTTTTTTGCATTCAGATATTCTGGATTCAGATGGTTTTTTTATTCAATTTCTTATGTTTTTCTTATGTTTTTTCACTATGTAGCTAAGATCATTGATGATCATCATGAAATTTTTCTTTTTCTTTTTCTTTTTCATCAAGATTAAATGAATGAATGAATGAAAGAATAAATAACGCTAAGTTGAATTTCAAACTGAATTAGTGAATGTGTTTGGCAAGTGGCAAAGAGTTAGAGCAAGAGCAAGAGAGAGAGAGAGAGAGAGAGAGAGAGAGAGAGAGAGAGAGAGAGAAAAAGGCGCCCAAAACGCCATAAATATGAACC